CACCGGAGGGGTCCTGACCGCACTCACACCGACCGCGGTAGCCGCGAGGGCGACCGGGCTAGGCACACCTAACCACCATGTTTTTAGGAATGTGCGGTTTAAATCACGTTTGCACAGAACCCCGCTTGCACAGCCATGTAGCCGTCCGAATTTCGTCCCGTTTGTTTGTTATACACATAATTTATTCAAAAAGACTCCCTTTTTCTTCCTTTTTACCGGCGCTGGCTGCCAGTCGATCGATAAAAAAGATAAACGCAGAGTCCCGTGTCGGTACCAAAGTGAATCACCCACCCGGCGTGGTGCGGCGGGCACAGGCGTCACTAATCGCCCGACGAGCCCGCCTCCACCACGCCGACCAAAGCCGCGTCAATTTGGCCGATCGGTTTCTTCTTTCTCACGTTGACAGGTTGGCCCGGCCGGACTCACGTGCGCAGCGGACCGCGTACCCACCAAATTGCGAAAGAAAAAATAAATTATATATACACCAATAATGTATCGAAAAACGGAAACCTGACGCGGACACCCACAGACACCTTTGAATCATATTTGACGTGCACACAATTTTTGTGCGAGTGGAGAAATTTTTTTTCGAGAAGCTGATCGTCAAAAAACATTTGTGCGTCAAGCAGAAACATCATTGCGCACAAATTTAGGGCAATTTTATTAGGATTGGGACAAAATGCAGAAACGCACTCTGAAAATAAAAAATCTTGATGCAAGCAAACCGTTGGCTGGTTCGCGAGCGACGCGCGCAGGTGGTCCAGCCGAGCAGCGGGGGCGGCGCGCCGCGCGGCTGACAGAGTGTCTCGCGTGTCCCGCTGTCTGCTGCCGCCGACCCGGCGACACGTTCGGAATCAATATATTCCAATCAAAAGCCAAGACGAACTCAGGCGGTGGCGGTGCCGCCCGACAGCTGCGCGGCCCACCCTGACGTCCCAGACGAAATGAGAGCCAATCAGAGCCGGACGAGCCATTGTGAAGCGGGATGACATAAACCACCACCACCTGAGTATGGGGCATGACCAACCACACACACTCACACACGCACGCACGCACGCGCGCGCACGCACACACACACACACACACATTGGGGAGAGACTGCGGGAGAAAGAGAGAGAGAGTGGGGAGGGGGGACCACATCGGGCGTAGAAAGGCGGCAACGAGGAGGGGCGGGACTGTGTATTGATTCTATAGACAGAAAGGCGCGGATCCCTGGGCCGCATCACCATCACATCCATAGTTAGGTATTACCCTCCAGCGCAAACACGGGGGAAGGGGGAGGGGACGTTGTGCGTCCCCGCGCCGGCCGGCCGGAGCCCCAAAGGTCGTGCGGCCAGGTGGACAACGCGTGGGACCGGCGACCCGTCGATTTATTATGCCCCTCAGGAAACTCTTGCAGGGTTCACTTTCACGATCAGCGAGTGCAAGAGGGACGGCGAGAGATTGGAAAGGGTGGACGGGGAGGTGCAATCTGAATAATGTATTTGTAAGTGTATACACGGAGAAATTTTGTGAATGGTGCGAATTTATATTTCGTTAAACTACAAAAATTCATTAGAGGAATTTGGCACGCAAATTAGAGCAGATACGGCGGACACAAGTTCTCAATCAGATGACCCTCCCCGCTGGTTTTCAATAGACTCGCAAGTGTTCCACTTTCCAAGCCGGCCGAATGGGTCGCTGCGGTCCCGCCCGCCCCCGCTCCGCTGGGTGTGAGGTCCTCAGCGTGGCGAGGCTGGGCTCGACGGGTATAATACCGCCTCGAGCGCCGGCCGAGAGCCTCGAGAGCGTGAGCGGCGGTGAGCGGGGTGTATCGTGTGACGGACGCAAAGGTGACACAAGTGGGGCGTACGTGTCGCACGCCGGCCGGGGCGGTGGCGCAGGGTGGCGCCGGCCAGAGGGAGAGCAGGTGTCGGATGGCGCCGTCCGCACATGCGCCGCACGCGCT